CTCCTCCTCCTCCTCCTCCTTCCTCCTCCTCCTCCCTCCTCCTCCTCCTCCCTCCTCCTCCTCCTCCTCCTCCTCCTCATCTCTCCTCCTCCTCCTCCTCCTCCTCCTCTCCTCCTCCTCCTTCTCTCCTCCTCCTCCTCCTCCTCCTCCTCCTCCTCCTCCTCCTCCTCCCCTCCTCCTCCTCCTCCTCCTCCTCCTCCTCCTCCTCCTCCTCCTCCTCTCCCCTCCCTTAGAGAGGGGGGAGGACGCGCCCAGGTCCTGCAGGAGCGCATCCAACGGAGCGACTACTACGCCACCTACCTGGCCAGCGCCGAGCCCCCGGCGGTGCGGAGCCTGCTGGAGCGATGCGAGAGTTGCGAGGCGTCCTCGGGCGGGGTTGGGACGAGGACACCCTCCTCCGCCTCCTCCTCCTCCTCCTCCTCCTCCTTCCTCCTCTCTCCTCCTCCTCCTCCTCCTGCTCCTCCGCCTCCGCTCTCCGCCTCCGCCTCCGCCTCCGCCTCCGCCTCCGCCTCCGCCTCCGCCTCCTCCTCCTCCTCCTCCTCCTCCTCCTCCTCCTCCTCCTCCTCCTCCGCTCTGAAGCGTCATGGAACGCTCTCAGGGCGTTCCTGAACGCAACGGGAAGGCCGCGGCGCTTGAGGCATCCTCCAGAACCGCTGCATCTCAAAGGTTCTCGATTCATCGATTCATCCTCACCCGAATGCATCCTCGTCCTGGATTCATCCTACGTCCCAGTCAGAGGGAGGGAAGCGATAGTCGGCGGCGAGCGAAGGGGGGAAGTGAGACGGAGAAGGCCTTCTCTGACGGCGGCGGGACTTCTCAGAAGCTCTCCAGCCTTCTGAGAGGTTTTCCGTGTTTTCGGGGAAGGCTCCGAATTGTTCTGAGAAGACAGGGATTTCCGAGAGTTTTGAGAAGGCCCGCCCCTTCTCGTGTTCCCCCCGGGCTCGCCGCTGATATAGGCGAGCCAGCTTGGAAGTACAGTCAAGACGTTGAATGAAGAAACAGTCCTGGTTACCAAGGGGCCCGTTGTTCCCCATGTTTTCCGATTGATGTTCCTCTAACGCCACTCGTGCACCCAGGCGCCTTTGGGGGGCCCAAAAGGGGTGTCGTTCCGTATTCAGCGTTTCTTCTGGCAGTAGCTCGACTGTAGATGGTCAGACACCCCCCGGGGCTGACATTCTTTGGTGCCTCCCAGATGGTGTCCGTGTAGATGGGGTCGAAGGATCGCGACGCAGTTCCGGATGCATCGGCGATGCGGCTCGATGCGGAGCCCGATGTTCTTCACGCCGTCGTAGCCGAATGCGGCACAAATCATCAGATCACATCTACTCCGACCCCATCTATGAGGCCTCTAATCATCGAGGACAAAAGAACCCCTGACCCTAATTAATGACAGAGAAGACGTGGCCTCACTTAGGTTCTCGTCGTTGCATCCAGGGTAATAATTATGGAGGTTCTGCTGTGGTACGTCTGCGGCTAAGACCCCCTCTCCCCAATGTTGTTGGCCCTCCTCACTCAGGTCCAGTCCCAAAAGGATTAGGGGTCCTTTCACTGCGAATCAGATGAGACTGCCGACCCCGGCAGTCACGAAGTGCGCTACCCCCCGCGAGTCACCCTCTCTGTTCGCGGCCGAGGTGGAGACGCGGGACAGGGGGGCCCTGGACATGGCGCCGTCCCCCTTCATCTGCTGCGTCCTCCGCCTGATGCAGATCCAGCTGACGGAGGGCCGGGGAGCAACGGATGCACGGCAGGGTCGCGTCGTGCTGCGGCGACCCCGCCGCGGGCGTCTCAGGCTGAGCGCTGCCAGTGGCCCAGAGCGGGTCGCTCAGGAAGGATGGATCTGGCCACCGAAAAGCCGCCGATTCTTCGAGGTTGAACGATTTCAGGGCTGGACCTAAACAGTGTTTTGGCGATTTCGTGGGCCGTTTTCGTCTCGATTTTGTTTTGCGGTAGAGGCGGATTGAAGACAGAACAAGGGAAATCGAAAGCAAAACGAAAACGGAAAACACCGCTTAGGTTCAGCCCCGAACGGTTCTGTTCTGTAGGATTTTCGCGTCGCAGCGCGGCAGAGGCAATCCGCTCGCGCGCTCAAGTGGGCGGGGAGAAGTCGCGGCACGAACTGTCGGGCTGCAGCAGATCTGGACGCCCGAAATGGGCACGGAAAGAAAGGGCACTATGCCCAACATCAAATGCTGTCCCAAACCAGCAGCGGCCACTGTTGGGCAGGCGGCCTCCTGTCTCAAGTGGACACAGGCCGCGGCGGCACCAACAGCGAGTCCTGTCCCGAATGAACAGGAACTGCTGTTCGGCATTGTACCCATTCTTTCCGTACAGTCGGGCCGCTGAAGAAGGAACCCTTTTAGTTTGGGAGGGGCTCCGTGTTCCTTAGTTGTTTTACAGCGCTCCTTGGGTTTTCCCCAGGTTTTCCATGGAACATCGGAGTTTAACTTTTGGGACAAAGGGGCCTCGTTCCTTATTTATCGTTCCTTTGGTCAACGTCCCGACTGTGCCCATTGCGTTCGTGCCGAGCAGCAGGGGGGGAAGGGGGGGGAGGAGGGCCGGCCGCGGAGGGCGGGAAGGAGAGGAGGGCAGGGCGGGAAGGAGAGGAGGGCACCCGCGGCGCGGAGAGCCGCGAGGTGGCACGATCCACGCGGTGGCAGGTGCCATCGCCGGCGCCGTCCCGGCACGAGCCCGCCGTGTGAGCGCCCGGCAGCTCGGGCCCCCCTCCCTCCTTCTCTCCCCCTTTCCCACCCTCCCTCCCTGCGTCCTCCCTCCCTCCGTACCCCTTCTCCATCCCCCTTCCTCCTCGCCCTTCGTGCCCCTCCCGCTTCCCCCCCTTCCTCCTTTTCTCCCCCCCCCCCCTCACCCCCCCAATCGCGCTGCGGAAGTGGGCGCCGGCGCGCCCGAAGGAGGGGAGGAGAGGAGGGGAAGGAGGAACAGCCCTGGGCGGCTGGCCAACGCAAGAGGACGGGGGGGCGAGGCGGGGGGGGGAGAGAGAGGGACGAAGGGAGGGACGCGGGAGAGGCAAGCAGGGAGAGGAGGAAGGGGAGGGAGAAGTGGTATGGAGGGAGGGAGGACGGAGGGAGGGAGGGAGGGGGGGAGGAGGAGGAGGGGGGGAGGAGGAGTAGGAGGAGGAGAGGAGGAGGAGGAGGAGGAGGGGAGGAGGAAGAGGAGGAGGAGGAGGAGGAGGAGGAGGAGGAGGAGGAGCAGGAGGAGGAGGAGGAGGAGGAGGAGTTGGAGGAGGAGGAGGAGGAGGAGGAAGAGGAGAAGGAGAAGAAAGAGGAGGAGCAGGACATTCGGACGACGACGATTACGCCAGCGACTGTGACGACGAGGTGGGGGATGATCGGATCGCTGGGGGGGCGCGGTGTTGCACAACGGTCGCCAGCCCAGGAGGGGCAGCTCCAGGACATGCTGGACGACCCCACCGTCTGGACACGGTGCGCCGCCTACAGCTACGTGCGCTGGGGCATGCATCACGGCCCCGACCTCCGGCGCCGTGTGATTTGTGTTCAAGTCGGGCCTGCCTGTCATCACACAGGAGGAAAATTCAACAATAGGTAAAAAATAGTCTAGGGACGATTGTTCGACTTTGGTTTGACAATTCTCGAGCACTGTTAGATCATGTTGTATTTTTCGTCGCGAAGCCGCCTGTAGGGGGACATGCCCGACCTAAGATTTGTGCTGAGCCGCCAGCGGTCGCCCCCCCAAGGGCGGCCTCCAGGGGTGTGGGCCACTCTCGGTACCCGAGTCCTGCCGAGGAGGGGCCCCGGGTGAAAAGCTCAGGGGTGGACAGACCTCCTACCCTGACACGTCGATTAGGGAGTTGGCCGTTTTTGGTTCGCGAGAGGGCGTCGCGGCCGCCATTTTTGCGGTTCCAGGTCCGTCGGTTTCGGTCCCAGGCCGTTTTCACGAAGGGGAGGTGTACTAAAGGGAGGTCTGTCCACCGCCGAAAAGCTGAAAATGTCGCGCGGGGGGGGTCCCAAGAACAGAGCTCCTGGGAGCTGGGGATGCCTCGAGTAGGGCCGAGAGTCAGAGAGCGCCTTCCTCTGCAGGACCACCATAACAGGGACGTCGAGGTTGTCCAACGCCTCGCTGGTGAAGCCGACAAAGACGTGCAACATTTGACCATTCGCTCATGTCCAAGGTTTTGGCTTGACGCCGGGTGTGGTGCATCAGTTCTAGCTTGACCGGACAGGTTGGTTGTGCCTCTTGACGTCCGTTTGGGGTGTTCTGCAGACCTGACTCCCCAGACCTACTCAAGAGATGCCGGAGCGAGGTGGGTGGTATCGGTGGGCTTCACGCTGGAAAATGTCTGGTGGGTGCTGGAAAATGTCGGGCGGGGGGCTGGCTGGGGAAGGGTTGCTTGGGTCGGACGAAGTGGGGGGGGGAACTTTCGCGGTAGGGGATCGGCCACAGAATTGATGTAGCCAAATTTGGTTTTGATCGTCAAACTCATGAAAGATGCTACGTCTGTCCTGCAGATTCTGCGAGGACACCAGTTCTGGGGTAAATCAATTCTCTAGTCGATCCCATACTCGGCACTTGGGGAATCCTGCCGCATGCAGCCAGCGCTTCAATCATATTACGAGCAAATAACTCACAGCCATAACCCACAAGGAGGTAACAGGGAGGAGGCCTGGCTGTGGGTATGGGCGCGGGTTGTCGGACCCCTGGGGAGGCTCCCGTTCGAGCGGGAACCCCCATGCGGTGGGGAAGATCAGGAGGAGGAGGAGGAAGAGGAGGAGGAGAAACATGAGGAGGGGGCATCTTGGGAGCCTTTGAGGGGCACTCTTGGGGCCTCCTGGGAGCTCTGGAGGCAACTTGTGGGCCTCCTTGGGCCTCTTGGGTCTTGGGGGCCTTTGGTGGCTTCTCAGAGGCCTCTTTGACCGTCTTAGGGCATTATTGGCCCGTCTGACGCTGTCAGAAGTCGTCTTGGGGGCGTCTTTGGGCCGACTTGGAGCCTTCTTGGTGTGCTCCAGGGCCGTCTTGGAGGCCATCTTGGGCCTCTTGGAGGCCGCTTGGAGGCCTCTTGGCCGTCTTGGGGCCCTCTTGGGGCAGTATCGGTGCTCGTTTGCGGTCCTTTCCAGGTGGCTGGCGGGACGGGCCGAAGCCCCAGGGGGAGTCTTTTTGGAAAAAACTTACACCAATCCGTATGGAGTTCAGCACGCCGGGCGCCGAGGAGAAGAAGATGGTGAAAGTGGAGTACCCGAACTCTGGAGTACCCCTTCACGGGTGAGAAATCAAGCCCCACTGTCACGGCCGTCCTGCGGAGGGTCGTGGTCCAGAGGATGTAGCCTTTCAGTCATGTCGGTACCCAGGACAACCAGTGCCATCTCAACGCGGCGGTCAGCTTGGTCGCACGCTCAACCGGGCACCCCTGTGGCAAAACCAAAGGGAGCCAGCGGGTCCAGTGGCTTGCGGCCCATCCCGCCGCCGTACTTGGGCAGTGGGTCCGAATCCTCATGGATGCTTCTTGGGATCTCTTGGGAGGGCCGTCGGGGTCCTCTGGGGGCATTTTGGCGACCGCTCGGGAGCCTCTTGGAAGCCTCTTGGGAGCCTCTTGGGGCCTCCTGGGGGCCTTTGGAGGGCCTCCTCGGAGCCTCCTGGGAGCCTCTTGGGAGCCTCGTGGGGTCTCCAGGGAGCCTTTTAGGCAGTGAGCTCGAAATGTCAGTTCGTGTTCGCCCTCTGGGGCCCGTCTTGGGGCCGTTTTGGAAGCCTCTTGGGGCGTCTTGGATGCCTGTAGGGCCGTCTCGGTGCCCTCTTGACGGCCTCGTAGGCCATCTTGGGGCGTTCTTTGGGGCCTCTTGGCGGTCACGGAACGTCGGGAAGCCGAAAAGTCAGAAACGCTACGTAAACGTTGCCAAAACCAAACGGAAATTCAATGAATGTTGTTCTTGGGAGTGCTCTTAGAGGCCTCTCGGGGCGTCTTGGAGGCGCCTTGGGCCGCTTGGAGGCCATCTTGGGCGTCTCTGGGCCCTCTTGGGCCCTTCTTGGAGCATCATGGACCTGATTTGCCGAAAGAGAGCCAAATTTGCTCGAAGGCGGCCCAAAAAGGGAAGGTAGGGACCGTATTCTGACCCTGGACCCCCCCCCTCCAGGACCCCTCCAGGCCCCCCCCACCCGGGTGAAGAAGGGATCAAAGGGAAGTGGCTTCCCTTCGATTGAATTACGACTTCGAATGCGACTTTGCTCGATTCACCTCGAGTTGGCGAGCTTGGCGCGCCAAAGAGGGCCTCGGGAGGGCCTCCAGGAACGGAAGAGCAACTCGAACGAAAGATTGTCTCTTAGGGCGCACCCGGGGACGACGGACCCAGGCTGCACCACACACACACACACACACACACACCGCGACCCCTCGCGCCCGCCCCGCCACTCTTGTCCGCACCTGCGGGGCGCTCACGCAAGGAGAAGGGATGGAAGACGGGGAGGAGGAGGAAAGATCGGGTTCACCCAAAAGGCGGTCCAGCGACAAGGGGGTGGTGCAATAGATCTGGTGCAATAGATTTGCGGGGTTGCGATACATTTGGGGCGTGCAATACATTCTGGGGCGCACATGAATTGCTGGATTTTCGCGTGCCATACATGACGTGCAATACAATGACACAGAATTCTCCGGCGCAGTGCATTTGCAATACACTTGCCCCAAATCTACTGCACCACCTCCTTTCAGCTGGACCCCTTTTTGGGCCACCCCCAAAAAAAAGGAAGAGGAAGACGCGGGGCCCACGGGCTGGCGGACAAAAGTCGGACTCCGCCGGAGGCTCCGGGGCCCCGGGGGGGCCAGCCGAGGGGCACTGCGAGCCTCGAGCTGCCGGGCCTCCTCGAGAGCGGATCCTCTGCCGCCGCCGGGCCTCCGCTCGGTCAGGAGCTCCGGCCCAGCGTGTCGCGCAGCCTCTTCCGGCCCACCGCGCATCGGCGCGACACGCCGACGGCGCCGCGGTCCCCAGGCGTCCGCACCGCGAGCTTCTCCCAGCAGCCCGCCCCGCGGAGCGGAGTGGCACGCTGTCCGCCAGCAGGGCACAGCGTGGTCGCCAGGGCCGCCGCGACGCGCTGGGGCAGAGGCCGCCGCCCGTAGCCCCGCCAACTCCTCGGCAGCGGCCGCTTGCGCGCTGCGCGTGCCAGGGGGCGGCGGGTGCGGGGAGCCGGGGGCGCCGAAGGTGGTGAGGCCTCTGTGGGGGGGGAGGGGCCTCGTGGCCGCCTGTCTCTTCGAGCCGAGCCCTGGGCCCCCCTCGTCGCCCGCGCACCTTGCCGCGGGCCACGAGGCGCCCCTTCCCCCTCTCCCTGGCCACCTTCTTCGGCGCACCCGATGCGGGGGGCTCTGGCGCCGGCGGGGAGGCCGACTGCGGACGCCCGGCAGTTTATGCCGTGTGCTGCTCTTTGGCCCTCCTCGTCACGACCGCTACTGGGAGCTGCTGTCGGAGGCGCTGCTGGACGACGAGGACGTGGTCCGTTCCGATCCGATGGATCCGATTCGATGTCGATTCGGGCTGGCCCGGTCCGATTCGATTCGGATGTTTCGGCGGTGTGTGGCCCGATGTCTGCCTGGCGGTGCTGTGCATGCTGGCGCGGCCGGTTCGATTCGAATGCGGCTCCGTGCGCCAATGATGCAGCTAGACCCGACGCGCATTCCGATCCGATCCAATTCCCCGATTTGATGATGATTGATCCTGCGAGGAGTTCACCCCGTTTCCAGGCAGGGGTTCGGACAGCATGGAGTGCGGGCAGTACGTCGAGCAGCTGTTCACGAGGGACAAGTACTGCGACACCTCCCTGCCTCGCATCCCAGTGGCACAGAGGAAGATGCTGATGAAGCGCCTGGTGCTCTGGAGGGAGGGTGACAACACTGTCCCTGGTCGCAGCGATGTGGGTCACACAGCGCCCAGTGCAGGCTTGAAATCGACCGCGCCAAGGGAGGGGGGTCCAGCGCCGATCCAAGAAATCCGCGCGGAGCTCGGAATGTGTATGTCGATGCCGTTTTTCTTCCTCCCAGAAGAGGCGGCGGACCGGCAAATTGTGCATCTACGCAGACGGGTGAGGAGGGAGGGCGGCCGCAGAGAGAGGCAAAAGGGGGGACACCTTCACATCATACAGGCCGTGACGCTGAAGTCGGGCGTGTCCCTCTACAGGAGGAATATTCGAGAATAATCAAAGAATAGCCTGGGGACGATTGTTTGATCATTTTTGGGGGGCCAATGTTTGAACATTGTTTGAGTATTTTTGATTTCTCGCCACAAAAACCCGCGTGTAGGGGACATGCCCGACTTAAAACAACGCACGCTTTGTTTATTCTTGCGCCAGCCCTCCTCCCCACCATCCAGGGCAGGGGCGGACGAGGGGGGGATCCCAGCGCCGGGAGGTGCCGGGAAAGGCAGCCGCACGTAGCCGATTCGGTAACCCCCACCCGTGGCTCAGGGCCCCGAAACCAGGAGTCGCCAACCATGATGTTGCCACCTCCACCTGGAGGAAGCGAGTCATCGAGAAGGATGTTTCGACCCAGGGCTGCATCTCCCACTGGTGCGCCACAGTCCTGACTCCTCAAAGTTTCCGCCCTCTACGCTTTCAGCCTGCGTTCTGCGTGGTGCTTACTTTCAGGACGGCGTCCCCGGAAGTCCCGACCCTTTCCTTGGGACCGGCTTTTCATCCTGAGTCGTTTTTTGAAGGTCCCGAGGCCTGGCGAGGGCCCCACGAGGCCGAAAACGGCCTAAAACCCGCCGTCCTGATTTGTTTTACGACGCGATCACGCTTGGGAGCCATCCACTGATTCGGGTTTTTCTCTGGTGTAATGCGTCCCGGGGCTGCGCAGCTCCCCCTCCTCGGGGCACACGGGGGGGGGGGTCGCCAGCGAGCCTCCGCGCCCTCCGACGGGCCTCTGTGCGGGGCGCCGCCGACGCTTGCTGCACTCGCTGCCCGGGCGCGCGCGTGTTCGGCAAGGCCGGGGCGCAGGAATCGACTACACGTAATTAAGAGTGACGTTTCGCCGGAGGGACCCTTGGTGCGGGCCCAGTGGGGCCCCCCGATCGCCGAACGCGATGCGGTAGTTGCGTCTCGCGCGCTCGCTGTTGGCCCCCCCCCCGCGGCCCCCCAAAAAGCCGCGCACCAAAGGTCACTCTTGCCCAGGGTCACTCTTGCGTGTAGTCGAAGACACAGGAGCCCCCTGGGTTCCAGGAGTCTACAGGGATCGTTTCGATTCCTCCGATTCGGTTCGATTCGATGTCGATGGCTTCCGATCCCGATGCGATTCGACTCGGGCTGCCGATCTGGTTCCGATTTCTTAGTGGAGGCACGCTGGCCTGTCGATTTCCGCCGATTCGACATTTCCCGACTCGGCTGCCGATTTCCGCCGATCTGATTAATTTCGATCGCCGATCCGACTTATCGATTCGATTCTGGGCTCTCCTGAGTCTCGGCCGCCTTGATGGGGTCGGAGGATCGCGCCGCATCGGCGATGCGTTGGTGATGCGGCTCGATGTTGGGCCCGATGTTCTCCACGACGACGTCGCCGATGCATCGCCGACGCCTCCAGCGTATCGCCAATGTATCGGCGATGCGGCGAGATCCTCCGACCCCATCCACTCGGACCCCATCTAGGAGGTCTGCAAGGAGGGGCTCTGATTTGTCGGGGCTGTTCTTCGGGGCTGCGCAGGTCTCTTCGGTACGGCAAGGGCGCGGAAACAGGGGCCACCTCGTCGTCCTTCCCTCCTCCCCTCATGCGGTGCAGCCTGAACGAACATGGTGCCAGCTCGCAGGTTTCACATGTAGGGGGCCACATGCGAACCCTACCCCTACCCCCCCACGATTTCTGAGGGGGAGGGTGGGGTTCATTTCGTTCGGGAGCTCCCGAGCGAAGTGAACCCCACCCTCCCCCTCAGAAATCGTGTGGGGTAGGGGTAGGGTTCGCATGTGGCCCCCTAACATGGTGGTCCGTGCCACGCATGGTGGCCGAGCCCTGCTCGATCGGACCCTAACGTAACGCAGGGCGCAGAAACCGGGGCCACCAGGGTTCAAAAGGAGGGGCCCTGGCTTCTCGGCCTGCTCCTCGGGGCTGCGCAGGTCGGTCGAGAAAAGACCTGAGGAGCGAGAAGAAGGAGGAGGGGGAGGAGGGGGAGGAGGAGGAGGAGGAGGAGGAGGAGGAGGAGGAGGAGGAGGAGGAGAGGACGGAGGAGGAGGAGGAGGAGAGAGGAGGAGGAGGAGGAGGAGGAGGAGGAGGAGAGGAGGAGGAGGAGGAGGAGGAGGAGGAGGAGGAGGAGGAGGGAGGAGGAGGAGGAGGAGGAGGAGGAGGAGGGAGGAGGAGGAGGAGAGGAGGAGGAGGAGGAGGAGGAGGAGGAGGAGGAGGAGGAGGGGGAGGGGAGGAGGAGGAGGAGGAGGAGGAGGAGGAGGAGGAGGAGGAGGAGGAGGGGAGGAGGAGGAGGAGGAGGAGGAAGAGGAGATGTCTGACTCGGACCGTGGCTGGACCCCCGGTGTGCTGCTCGCAGGTCGGTCGAGGGAAGACCGGAGGGCCGGGGAGGAGGGAGGAGGAGAGGAGGAGAGGAGGAGGAGGAGAGGAGGAGGGGGGGAGGAGGAGGGGAGGGAGGAGGGGGAGGAGGAGGAGGAGGAGGAGGAGGAGGAGGAGTAGGAGGCGGAGGAGGAGGAGGAGGAGGAGGAGAGGAGGAGGAGGAGGAGGAGGAGGAGGAGGAGGGGAGGAGGAGGAGGAGGAGGAGGAGGAGGAGGAGGAGGAGGAGGAGGAGGAGGAGGACGAGGAGGGGGGAGGGGGAGGATGAGGAGGAGGAGAGGAGGAGGAGGAGGAGGAGGAGGAGGAGGAGGAGGAGGAGGAGGAGGAGGAGGAGGAAGAGGAGATGTCTTACTCGGACCGTGGCTGGACCCCCCGTTGTCTGCTCCAGCGCCGCCCCATGGCGCGCTCCGCGCGCCCGCGGGGGGTGTCTGGCGCCGAACCTAGACTTCGGCGCGGAGCTCCGAAAGTTGAGGTGTATGCAGGCGTCTCTCCTGCTGCAGTGGAGGCCCATGCCAAGAAACTCCCTGCTTGCCTCCAGGGTGCCCTGGCTTCGTGGGTTTCGATGGTCTTGCTGTGGCAAGCGCGACGCTCCCACACCAACAAAAAGCGATGGTCGGCCTGGGGTCTCAGGGGTGGGTTCCTTGTGGGAGGTTTCTTGTGGACCGTCCTCCACTGCTGTGTCTGGGCAGGGCTGGACCCCAACGCTGTTTTGCTGGGCTCCGGCCGTGTTCTGTTTTGTCCGCTTTGGCAGTGGAGGTGCAGGAAAACAGGTGGAGCAAGACGAAAAACGCAGCGAGAAACAGAACGAGGAGCAGCGTTTAGGTCCAGCGCTGCGTCGGGGTGCTCCCCTGATGCCAGCGGCCGGGGGAAGCGTGTCCGTGGCGGAGCCTCGCCGTGGTCATAGACGGTTAAGAGGCTGCCTCGTGCCTTCTGGCGGCACACGAGCGCTGCACGGGTGCAGCGGGGGCAGGGAGACTTCGGGGCCGAGTGGAGCCGGCCCCGACCTCGGCCCCGACCTCGCCCATGCGCAAGGCTGGCTTGGAATCAGGAAAGAATACCCATGCCTCTACCTTTTCCTCGCTTTCCCTTTTGGGCCCTCCTCGGAGGCCCTCGCCGCCACCGCTGGATTCGCCTCGCAATTCTGGTCAGATCGCACCCCGGGAGAGGTCCGGGGGGGTAGCCTTCTGGTTTCCCTATGATAGGCGCTCGTCGCACAAGCCCAGTGGAAAGGCGCCCTCGGGCTCAGGAGCCGAGTCGCAGCCGCCCTCGAACACTGCAAGCCTGGGCTGGAAGGCACTCGACCGCCGCAAACCCGGTTCCACGTTCCCTCGAACATGCGCCGCACACCCGGTCTGAAGGTACGTCGAAGAGAAAAACGATCAATCACGACACTATTGGGTGAGAGGGCGCCTTTGCGGTAGTGGGCAGGCTCGTCGCATCGTCCCGCAATGTGATGAAGAAGAAGAAGGGAAAAACAGTTGAATGGAGATCTTGGTTCGAGGGAATTGCGAGTGATGTGGCATCTCCAGAGGGGGTGCTCGGTGTCGGGTATACGGCGCAGGACACCATCGGCCTCTCCTGCCCATCTGAACAGGACTCGTTGACGGTGTCGCCGCTCTCGTGGTCCACTTGAGACAAGAGTCCCCTGCCTAGCAGCTGCCGCAGCCGGTTTTTGGGAGCATGTGCCGCTGGGCGTCGTCGGCGTCGTCCCCAGGTTTCGCCGTCTCCATTGGGCGTGCGAGACGTTGCTAAGCCTTGTCAGCCCAGACATCCGACTTCTTGATGTTTTCAATGCGGGGTCCCCAGAAGTCCTGGACCCTTTCTTCAGGGGCACTCTTTCATCCCGAATAGTTTTTGGACGGTCCCGGAGCCCAGCCAGGGCACCCAGATGCCGAAAACGGCCAAACGCCCCCCTCGTGATACTCGTTCATGACACCAGCATGTCTGTGTCTGGGCGCGCGAAACGCTGCCAGACCTTGACGGCCTGACCGCTTCCCGAGAGGTGCTCTACGAGCAGTTCCGCAAGCGCTACGCCGCCAACCTCGCGGTGCGGGAGCGTTACGAGCACCCCGGCAAGCCCGTGGAGTTTTGCAGCGTCGACGGCGAGTGGTCTTGGGGCTCCCGTGACGGGGGTCACTGCAAATGAGTGTCAGCCAGAGCGCCAGATCTTCCAGGATCCTGCAAAGCCAGGGTTGCATTGACCCGGACTTGCGCGCAGGATCTTTGCAGGATCGTTGCAGGATCTTGCAAAGTTTGACTGGCCCGGGTTTGCAGTGACTGACCTGGGTCAGCAGAAGCCCGAGGTCCGTGGGCGAGACGACTGGGTCGCTGAGCTCCGAGACCAGGAACTCGAAGACCAAACACATGAATGATCATAAATGTTCGGAGAACCCGCACGGGTCTCTTGGATCCGAGCCGGGCCCCCCTGCCCTCGCCTCCAGCGCCGCCTCTGGCGCGCTCCGCGCGCCAGTGAGCTTAGCGCAGATCCAAGGATTCCGCACGGACCTCCGACAGTTCATGTCCATGCAGTGGTTTTGCTGCTCTAGGAACGTCTCCGTGCGGGTGAAGCTGCCGGGAGACGGCGGCGAGCTTAGACGTGCAGGCAAGAGTTGTGTGCACATCCATTGCGTTGCAGATTTGCTGACATCCTTCCCTAGAAACCCGAGACGCCGTGGATATGGATAAATTGTTAGCCTCTTTCGAGGCCAGAGGTTTATCCATACCCATTGCGTCTGGGGTTTTTGACATCCTTTCCCCAGATACATCTCAGACGCCGTGGATATTTATATAAACATGGCCCCCAAGACAAGCTGCATCGCACGCTGGCCGTATAAGGTTGTTCATTCCTTCTCTCGGCATCGAGGAAGCAGCATCTGTGGCGCAGGCCTCCCAGATGGGGCCGGAACTAATGGGGTAGGAGGGTCGCGCCACATCGCCGATGCATCGTCGTGGCGGCGCGATTTTCCGACTCATCTACTGCGACCCCGTTTGGGAGGCCTGGGCCTTGGGACCATCGGGAAACGATTCGGTACGGAAAATCAGTCCCCCGGGAGGTGGCAGAGCTGGCTGCAGGGCCTCCGTCTTCCAGAGCATGTTTCGTCGAGGGAGCTGGCCTGCTTCTTCAAAAGAAGTCCATTCGGGCTCGCTAGGGCAGTCATGCTCGAACATTGTTTTGGGGAAGGGCCGCGTTGGGCTGCAAGCCCTGCGAGGTCGGATCTGCACGGTTGTACCACAAGTGTGTTGGCTTGCCTTCCCTCAAAGCAGCACTGGCATCCGGAATGTTCAGCCGACTGCGTCTGACCTCGTCGCTTCAACGATCAAGGAAAGAGAAACCACCCGGACCCGACAATTGGCTTTTACTCAATGGTCCTGGGCGTTTACAAACAGCCCTGCCCTGTTCGATTCCTCCTTTGGGTGCGTTTACTAAACGGCCTCGCTTGTCGGGGTGGTTATTATGAGGGTGGATTGTTTCCCCTCAACGACGCGCGAAGCCTACTTTTGCGGGTCCAAGCGGCGCCGAGGTGGCCGGATCACATCCTTCGGGGGGACCTCCGGAGGTCCTTGGACACACCTGGAGGCTCAAGCTTTCAGTCGAGCATGTCCCTGCACAGGAGGAATATATTCAGAAATAGTTGAAAATCGTCTGGGGACGATTTTTCATTATTTTTGAATACTTAGGGCCATGTTTTGACTATGTTTCATTTGTCGTACAAAATCCGCCTGTACGGGGACGTGGGGCCCCACTGTAGGCGTATGACTGACCCTTCGCCGCAAGGATCTCGGGTGCGGGGGCCCCTGTGGGCCCACTGGCCTGCGCGCCTCGGACTTGCCACCCCCCCCCCCGGAACCCAGAGGAGGAGCAAAGGCACCCACACCTCTGCCCTCCCCTCGTTGTGTTCCCTTTTTGTAAGCCTCCTGCGCCTCCGTCGTCGCCACCGCTGGGTTCGCCTCGAGATCCTGGCCTGAACGCACCCCAGGAGAGATCCGGGGAGTAGCGGTATCGGTACCTTTTTGGTGTCCCCGAGAACCTCTTGCGGACGATCGGAACCCCCTCACTCAAGGCCACTACTGCCTCGTATCGCGTCAGACTACGTTTTCGGTCTACGTGTTGAGCTCCTGATCAATACTCTACGTGTTGCGTGTTGCGCCTCGGGGCAGCTAAGTCCAAAACTTGAAGGCCCGTGGACACGGTTCTTGACGAACGCCGCCGCCGTAGAGATGGGAGGGGGAGGAGAGAGCGAGAGCGAGAAAGAGAGAGAGAGAGACTGGGAGAGAGAGAGAGAGAGAGACACGGAGGCAGAGACAGAGACAGAACAATGCAGGTAGAGAAAGAGAGAGAGAGAGAGAGAGAGAAAGAGGACAAGCAACAAGGGGGAGGGGGAGAGACAGAGGAGGGGGAGAGAGACAGAGAGAGAGAGAGAGAGAGGAGGGGAGAGAGAGAGAGAGAGAGAGAGAGGGAGGGAGGAAGAGAGAGAGAGAGAGAGAGAGAGCCCGAGCGAAAAAAACAGCGA